CACCACAGTTGCTTCTTTGTCGAGCACATGCAGAACAGTAAAGCACTGCTAGAACCCACCACAGGCAGTAGGCTGATAAATTAGAGTTAGAGTCCATTGTCCCAGAGTCTGGGATAACTTTTTGGCTTTCGTAAATCACTCTTTTACTATTCTAAGGCCCTTAAATGAGCATGAGCCACCTCGAATGAATATCTATCTGTTCCAATGAAAGAAAAGACTTTTTAGAAAGAAAAGTCACCACTCTCTCATTTTCTGGACGTGTTGGTGGATGTTCCTTTGTGATCAAAGTGTTGCCTGGCTGTTTGTGTCTCTTCAGACCATATAGTTGAACTTTTGCAAAGAATATCCCAGGGTTGTATTTGCAAGTCGAAGCTTCCGTTGTTATCTTTTTTAACCAAAGCTTTCTGCTTACAAAATGTGCCTTCATTTACTGTTCAAAAATAGCGTTGAAAGCATTGCCAACTACATCATCTACAGCACTTTATGTAAAGTCCATAAGAAAACTTGGAATTCCTGTTGGGGACACACTGTCCTCTCTCCCGCTGTGACTCATGCAGTACCCTGGCCCTTCCCGCCAGCAAACTCAGGGCACATGTGTAGGTTTGTTACAGCAGATGTGTTACCGCAGATGTGTTACCACGGTGTTACCTTGGTGGTACCACATTTGCATTCTCCTCTGTTTTTTTTTTTTTTGACTCTGGTTTTCTGTTTTTATTTTATTAACCTCTTTATTGACTTGTTTGTGGTAAAGCATTTCAAATCCTTTCGAGAAAAGAGGCGGGCTATAAAAATAATCTCTTTGTTTGGCATTGTTAATAAATAGGTAAAATACGAGTTTCAAAATCACCATTGTTTGGCAAAGTGCCAAAAGCCCAGGCTGCAGACCTAGCTCTGGACTTAGACTCTAGACTAGAGCAGCATGCGAGTGAGTCCCAGCCCCACACTCCCCCCGCTGTGGCTGTGGGCCAGCCAAGTAACCTCTCTGAGCCTCGGTTTGCTCCTCTATAAAGTGGGGATGATAATTTGGTTATAGCATTTCTTTGAGGATTAAATGAGATGCTCAGTATATTACAAACGTGATAAAAAAATACTAAGGTATAAGTCATTGTAAAGTGTAACTCATGTCACTTGGAAACATGTAACCAGTTTCTCAGTTTTTGTTGGGAGTAGATTGTATTTTCTTCTTTTCTGGTACCTTCATACAGTATAAGGAACTGCAAGACCGGTCTGAGTGTGGGTTGTTCATCCCCATGTCACCAGGAGGAGCTCTCTGAGGTTTCTTGCAGGTGTGTGTCTGAACTGGGGCCCCCAAACACACTGTGCTAAGTGGGCAGTGAGCACAGGCCATGCTAACTCACAACGTGGAGGGGTGTTTAGATTTTTTTCATCTATAATACATACATTTGGTGTTTAATTATCTACGGTGATGGCAGAAGGGAAAACATAAAATAAGCATAAATAAATGGCCATCTATAAGTCGTCTGCTCTTGGATGACACCACCCCACACACATCTATTTGCATTTTTGTTGTTGGTGGTGGTTTGTTTATTTTGAGACAGGTCTTGCTTTGTTGCCCAGGCTGGAGTGCAGTGGTGCGGTCAAAGCTCACTGCAGCCTCGAACTCCTAGGCAAAAAATGATCTCCCTGCGAGAGCCTCCCAAGTAGCTGGGACTACAGATGCGTGCCACCAGACCTAGCTAATTTTTAAATTTTTTTGTAGAGACAAGGTCTTGCTATCTTGCTCAGGCTGGTCTCCAACTCCTGGCCTCAAGCGATCTTCCCTCCTCAGCCTCCCAAAGTGCTGGGATTGCAGGTGTGAGCCACCACGACCGCCTCCTCCTGCATTTTGTTTTCATCCTTCCTCTTCCCAAGACGACTGTCCTCGGCCAGTCGCCATCATCCTTTCCTCTGGACCCGTTCAGAGGCTGAGCGACAGACTTCCCCACAGTAGCTGGCTTTCCCTTCCACACTTCCTACAGAGTTCCCTCTGAGAAACAGAGCTCCGCATGTTAGAAACGCCCGCGGCTCCCTGTCGACGTCAAGCCCGCACTACTTGGCATGCCTTTTGAAAAATGTCTTTTGCATAAAGTTTATAATATCCTTTGTAACCTTTATGAACTTTATAATTTTGTACCCTCCAACTTTTTAATATCTTGAAATTTTTAAATCTACAGAAAGTAATGAAAGAATATGTTCTTTCCCTAGATGCTTTAATTTGTAAAATATTTTGACACACTTGTCCCTTCCTTCTCTCCCCTCTTCTCGTTGTGGCGGAAGCGTTGAAAGTTGCAGATACCGTGTCCCTCTTCGCTACACACCTTTTGGGCTCCCAAGACGGGGACGTTCTCCCGTATAACCACGACGCCGTTATCACACTTACAGAACCTAACGACGGTTGTCTGATGTCATGCTCAAATCAGTTCCAAGTCCCCCAGTTATCCCAGCTGTTCCCCTCTGCTCCCTGCCTTCTGTCAACGTTCACACATGGCCCTTCAGTCGTTTCTGATGTGGAACAGTTCAGCCCCCTTCCCCTCTGGTTGAGTATCCAGGCTTCAGAAAGTGGCGCAGTATGGGTTTGCCTTGTCCCCTGTTCCTCTCTCCCCTGTTTCCCATAACCCGGAGTGGTTCTGGAGGTTTCTGTCTCTGTCTCTTAAAAGAACAGATGGAGGAGAGTTTCTCCCCCTTTCTCTTCCCTGGCTCACCTTTACTTCGGGGTGGGCGTGTGGCAGTCCCCAGCCGGCAGCCTGTCCACTGTCCATGTAAATACTCCCTGAGCGCCCTGGGAGCTGTTTTGGGTGCTCGGAGCAGGGGAGGCCGCTCCAAGCAGCTTAGACTCTACTGGGGCAGCCGACCATAAATAAACCGGTTTGTAATGGGACGTAGGTGGCACTAAGGAGTGTAAATCGTGATGGGGGGAGCAGAGGGGTGCTCTTGTCACTAGGGCGCTTAGTGCAGACCTGCCTGGTGCGTAACATTTGTGTAGGATCAGGAGGAGAGGCAGAGACTGAGAGAGCGCGCTGCAGAGAGGGGGCGCGGGGACGGGTGGGGAGGGCCATGGAGCCAGCGTGCGGGCGTGCTGGGGTCTCCTGCGTGCTGGGCGGGACTGGTTGGCCCCCTGTCGCAGTCGCCGACGCTGGCCAGGTGGGAGCGGGCGGAAGGGCCAGGCCCGCCGGGTCGGGCGGACCCACCCAGGGCTCCTCCCCCTGGAGCTTGCTGCGTGCTCGGGTAGGTCTGCCAGGGCTTTCCTATTACCATATTTGCTCATTCGTAAAGCACCATTTTTAGGGCTGATTAGTTGAACACAACTTTTGGGGGCAAGAGGAGTAAGACTGGCGGAAAAAAGAACTCATGCTTCTTTAAGATCAACTCTAAAACCCATCTCCATCTCAGAAACTTTAGTGGGGCGGGGGATGTGCTGTTTTGAATCAAAGTACTTGCTTCCCCTTTATTTGGGGAACTACTGCTGGTTTCAGAAAGAGGTGTGGTTGTCCTTTAGAGGCGCCCTACCTCAACTAATGAAATGATAAACAAGCTGGAGTTCCCGGAGCAGCTGGAAGCCTGAAGGACAAGGCCCAGGGAGGGCTGCGTGGAAGAGCTACCGAGGCTTCTTAGAACAATTCCTCCCTCACCCCATTGCCTCATTTGCACCAACTCCCCTTCCCCAAACTTGAAGTCATCTCTGCTTCTCTGAAGTTAACTAAACAGTGCTCCCCAAATTTGGCAGTGCTTCAGAATTAACACAGATCACATGGGAGCACCATGCCCCCACTAGACCCCAAAAGAATTTCCTGGACTGTGTCCATAGAATCTATTCTTCTCATGGATCTATCCTTCTTATAGAGCTCATAACAGATTTTTTTTTGTTTTTAACGTATAAGTTTGACACTGAGGCTAGCTACACTGCAAGGCCAAAGGCACACCTGATTGAAGTCTGCAAAATCACCTTCTCAGTCCCCAGAGTGCTGTGTGCAGTGCTGTGCCCCTCCTGGTGTGAACTGATGCATGGCGTGTCACTGTGCTGCTCAGGCACAAGTCCCCTTCTTGCTATAGTAGCTCTTGCTCCAAAGGCCTATCCTGGCTTGTGGTGGCCATGATTTTGCCACCACCTCTCCTGGCTGTCAGACTCAGATACCTCACTGGGAAGCCTACTGGATTTGATCACCTTGATATTCCCATAAGCATTGTTTCCACCATACCTGTGTCTGCTCCCTTATTTCCAGTCTTGGTAAAGGCTGCCACCAGCCCCGAGCCATGCTCAGTTGGAGCCAGGTTCTATACTTCCTAGCTATGAGACACACCTGCCCTTAAAGCCTCAGCCCCTCACTTCACCTTACACACTGCAGGTTGGATGTGTCACTTGTCTTCAGGGGGAAGAAACTAACTCCCTGGCATTGCATCCAGTGTGTGCCTCCCTCTCGAGCCCTGACGTTTGGTCTTCCCTCCCTGCTCCTTGGCTACAGTCTTTAGTGTGAAGGGGTCAGGTTGATGTAGCTCTCTGAAGGGGCCAGATTAGCATATTAGCTGTTGTTGCATGTGAAGTTCCTTCTTCCTGGAATTCCTTTACTGTCTGTGCAACCTGGCTGACATTCTCCCATTTCTACTCACAGAGCATTTCCTCCAGAAAGTTCTCCCTGACCACCCCCTTCTCCTCTTGCCTGGGTTAGATGTCCTTTCCTAGGTCCTGTGCATCCTCTATTATTGACTCACCCCATTGTACCCTAATTTCACTTCACACATCTTCACCACAAGAATATAAGTAGTGTATTTAGAGCAGGAATTATGTTCGGCTGATGTAAAACTGATGCTCAATGAATATTTCTTGAATGATGAATGAACAAGCAAGACCATTTGTGAACAATACCTACATTTGACTTTATTAATCTATGTGTGATAAAGAATAAAAATATATCCTATTTACTCTTCTTTGATTGAGAGATTTTGGTGACTTGAAGCAAGTTCTGGAATGGTAAAACAATGTCATTGCTTTTGTATCCCAACAGGAAATATGGGATGTATAAAATCAAAAAGGAAAGACAATCTGAATGACGATGGAATAGATTTGAAGACTCAACCAGTACGTAATACTGACCGAACTATTTATGTGAGAGATCCAACGTCCAATAAACAGCAAAGGCCAGTAAGTAGATAGTCTCAGGGGAGAATTCCCACAGCAGGATCAAAGCATGGCTGCATAATTTAAAAACCAGTTTGTCATATATGCATGCGGAAAAATCACATTGATTATTTGGGCCTCAAATAATTTTTTATATGCTTTGTATTAATAACTTAATCCTTTAAAGAACATGTAAACATTTTAGGGATAACTAGGCCACTTACTGTGCAATAAAAGGGCCTTTGGTCACATTCTTATGTATGGAGAAAACCATCTTACATATTCCTGGTACAAAGACTCCACTTAAAAAAATATATATATATATTATATATATATATATATGTATATATATATATTATATATATATATATGTATATATATAGAGAGAGAGAGAGAGAGAGAGAGGGAAAGAGAGAAATAGATTTTTGTGACTTAAGACAGGCAGTGAGATTAGCACAGTGGTCTGAAAGCAAAAAGCTAAAATAGGTGCTAATGTCTTGGTGTTTCGTACATCACCCATCTCTGTTTCCCAAAGCACTGGGGTTACAGGTGTGACCTACCACACCCAACCTCATTTCTTCAATTAATTCAAAATAGTACAGCTCCTGAAGTTGTCATGGTTTATTTTAGTGAATTAGAAGATTAAGGAAAAACACATCTAACTCTGCTCCCTAACCTTAGGCAAATATCTGTACTAGAAATTTTACATGAGTGTTATCTATTTGATGCATTTGGGAAATGCTTGACAAAGAACTAATAGTATACTTCATGGAAAGAAGGAAGCTTTGGACAATTATAACCTTAAATTCCACTTTATTTCAAATCTTATATTCTTTACATATATTTTCTCATGATTTTTTAAAATATTCATATCCTCACATAACCTGATTTTTATAAAATTCCTCAGCATTTAAGCTAGAAACAGCTTATTCCAGGTTATCCCAAATCCCTTTATTAAGAATTTTCATAGTTTCCCTAGTCTGACATGCTTTTAAATGCCTTGGCATTTTAGAAATACGTTCTCGATATGAAGCCCTTCTGCCTGCCCTTCCCCCAGCCCGTCCCATCATCCTGCAGGTGGGACACATCTTCCACATACCAAAGTCACACGTCGTCATTGAGACCGATAAGTCAGAGTTGGTCTGCGTAAGAAGTGGAGAAGAAGAGTGAATAAATTATGCTTTTAAGTTATCATACATGATGTTTCTGGATAAATTAACATTGTAATTTTATGTGCAGAAAATATATGTACTTAAAATGTGTAAGATTATTAATAGCTTTAATAATTTAATAAAATAAATACATATAAATATAAAATTTAACCTGTTACATAAGTATATACAGATATAGAACTATATATTACATAAATGTAATTAATAGAAAGTAAAATAAGAGGAATTGGAGTCACAAATAGTTTTCTTATAGCCTTCAAAGTTCTCATAAAAAGGATCTGTTTTCTTCCGGTACCATGTGCTATATATAGATTTTATATGCTTTAAAACCATTATTATTTTTGTTATGTTTGTTTTGTTTTCTGTTTCTTTTCTTTTCTTTCATTTTTTTTGAGACAGAGTCTCGCTCTGTTGCCCAGGCTGGAGTGCCGTGGTATCAGCCTAGCTCACAGCAACCTCAAACTCCTGGGCTCAAGCGATCCTCCTGCCTCAGCCTCCTGAGTAGCTGGGACTACAGGTGCACGCCACCACTCCTGGCTAATTTTTTCTGTTTTTAGTAGAGATTGGGTCTCACTCTTGTTCAGGCTGATCTCAAACTCCTGAACTCAAGCAATCCTCCTGCCTCGGCCTCTCAAAGAGCTAGGGTTACAGGTGTGAGCCACTGCGCCCAGCCTGTTTTTTGTTTCTAAATGATGAATGAAGATGTCCTTTATTCAGAAAAGCAGAAGAGAATAGTACAAACGTACACACCATTTTTTCCTCTTGTTCAGAGTGAAGAAGATTAAAAATCAAGTTAGAAAGCAGAAGTAGTAAACAGGTTTGAAATCTTTCAATTCCGTCATGTAAACCATAAATATTAACACTTTAGTTTGGGCCTCCTGTGGTCAGATATCCTTGCTTTGTGAGCCAGTCAGTTTGGGCTTATTCATGGCTATCAATACCACTCTCAGCCCCGGCCAGATGTGCCAAAGTGCACGCCATGGGTAGATAACAAGGGGGGTCGACACAAGTTTTAACAACACTCTAGAAAAAGCCATTTTAAGGAACAAGCTAGAGCAACAGAATATTAGTCACATATATGTGTTTTCAAAAGTGTATTAAAATGTTGTAAACTAAGGGCTCTTTGATATTTGAAAAAATCGGCTTGCTGCTTTCAGAATGATTTAATTAGTTTCTCATCTTCTGATTATTTCCTCCAAATCATAAAATAGATCATACCTCCTAATTATGTAAATCAAAATGACTGAAAAATCAGCATAAAATTTCTTGAAATGAGTATTGAAGGACAGCATGTGCCGTGGGTTTTCTGATACCACAATACACTAATTTTCCTCTACCCCATCACTGAATTAGAGATTTTATGGGCCGACTTTCATCAGAAATGTAAATTTCAGTACAAACCAGCTTGGTCCCATTCTGCGAAATCACATTTTAATCGGAGAGAAAGAGAAAAGGTGCACAGTTTGCGGTATAGGCCTCCGGCAGCCTCCCGTGGCACTGTGAGAAAAGGGAATTTGATTTAAAAGGTAACCGGAGCAGGCTTTTGTGCCACTAATAATTTAATAATTTAATCCCAATAATTTACCTCCCAACTAAAATGACCGGGGATGCCATGTGTCCCCATGACAGAGTCATGGCTCGGTTAGGACTTGCTCTCCGCTGCCGGTAACAGAGCCCTGACTACAGGTTTTTAAGCAAGCCTTGGAAACCTGGAGTTAGGCAGTCCCGGGCTGGGTGGCAATTCTGCCAAGTCACCAGGGCCCAGCCACTTCCTTGTGTCGCCTTGCTGCCCTTGGTGGTTTCCATGACTGCTAGGACTCCAGCCTTCACTTGTTTCTAGGCAGAAAGGGGATGAGGGACAAGGACAGCCTTTAGCAAAGTCTCATACAACCATTTCACTGATAGAGAGACCCCCCCCCCATCTGCCTCGGGGGCTGGAAAGTTTGCAAGCATAGTCACTGAGCTGGGCAAAATGCCACCCCACGTAATATTAGGGTTCTGTTTCCAAATAAGGGGGAGTTATGACGGGGTGAGGCTTGCTCGCTTCCTGCCACCACAGGCAAATGACAAAAGAGCCGTGCCACTGGCCCCGTAGCTGGGGGCATAGCTCTGCAGATTTTTCTCTTCCTGTTCTCTCTAGCTTAATAAGTTAGCAAATCTAAACGTCATTTGCTACGGTTAGAAAAATGATATATAACATGAGTGTAAGAAAAACTACACATAAAATTTTTCTTCCTAACAAATATTCTCTTGTAGGTTCCAGAATCTCAGCTTTTACCAGGACAGAGGTTTCAAACTAAAGGTATGTTTTAGTAGCAACATAGTTAAATTTTTTTCTTTACTGTTAGAGCTTCTATAAAATAGTTGTCCTAGATATTTTTATTTATTTTTTTATTGTGGGAAAATATGTATAACATAAAATTTACCATCTGGACCATTTTTCAGTGTATAGTTCAGTGGCATTAAATACATTCACATTGTTGTACAACCATCACCACCGTCCATCTCCAGAACCTTTTATCTTCCCAAACTGAAACTCTGTACCTATTAAACAATAATTCCTCCTTTACTTCTCTCCCAAGCCCCTGGCAACCACCACTGTACTTTTTGTCTCTGTGAATTTGTGTGCTCTGGGTACCTGACATGAATACAATCATTCAGTGTTTGTTCGTGTCTGGCTTATTTGACTCACCCTAATTTCTGTAAGGTTCCTCCATGCCGTAGCATGTGTCAGAACCTTATTCCTTTGTAAGGCTCAATCATGTTTCCACTTTAAGTATATACCACATTTTGTTTATCTCTTCATCCACTGATGGACATTTGGATTATTTCCACATTTTGCCTATCGTGAATAATGCTGCCGTGAACGAGGGTTTCTTAAACGCAGAGTTAAAATTACAGTCGTAGTTTTAAATGATTTTCCATAACGAGCACTGCACACAGTGCGGATGGCAGGTTACTTTCTGTAGCCCCGGAGACCTGAACCCGCTGGGAGGGAGCCCCTGTCCTTGCGCCAGCTGCCCTCTCCTCAGCGCTTCGTCCCAGCCTTCGTGCCCCGTGAGGATTTGCTAACACGTTTCTGCTGGTGGGTTCTCACAGGCGACCGCTTGTGTTCTTCCTGTTTAGATCCCGAGGAGCAAGGAGACATTGTGGTGGCCTTGTACCCCTACGATGGCATCCACCCGGACGACCTGTCTTTCAGGAAGGGAGAAAAGATGAAAGTCCTGGAGGAGTAAGTGCTCCCAAGCACACTGCGGCTGCTGCTCCTTCCCTCAGGCCACTGCGGCCTATGTGCTGTCCCCTTGTTTTGCTTCTGGTACCACGGCCAGACCCCCGTCTCGTTGTGGGCAGGAGGCCTCCTGGCCTACTTGCTGTACTATGGCTTGGGCAGTGGAAGGAGTAGGGCCAAGGAAGTTTCCTTTTAAGGCCACCTGTGAGCACTCTTCAGGGGGATGCCTTGGAAGACAGACCCCAGTTTCTTTCTTTCTCCAGCTGTGCCACCTTAAGAAGTTTGAGTCTGTGTGGCATCTGCATGTTATTTACAATGCCATTTTTATTTTATTATATTACTTAGATTTATACTGGGCCCAGTTCAGTTTCTGTGGATACTGTCCTAGAGCAGCTGTGTTGGAAACACCTCTACTCAGCAGCTGCGTGCTTCTGTGCACACGTGGGTGTTGTCATTTCCTCGACCCCCTCCATGCCGACTCACAGGCAGTGTGCGTCTGCAGGACAGTAAGGACAGTACTAAGAATAAGGAACTCCAAACATTTGAATTCTATCTTGCTTTTCCTACTAATCTTGCAGGAAGCATCATCATGGTCTGCCAAATAGGGTTAGAGGAGGGAGACCCTCTAATTAAGGTTAAGGTGTTCTGTGGTTGAGAGACCACAGTGTTGCTTAGAGGTTGAGTGAGGCCCTGCCACTTGACAGTTGTGTGACCTCAACAAGTCACTTAAACTCTATACCTTGGTTTCTTCACTTATAAACTGGGAACGACAGTGCCTGTATTGTGGGTTGATGTGAGCACTGCACATGTGTGTGTGTGTGTCTGTGTGTAAGTATAGCACAGGCATAGAGCAGGCATCGCTTAGCGTTAGTTGTGGTTGTCCTTCATGTCTTGCAGACAGGGATCCCATCTGCGTGTGGAATTTGAGGAGGAACACAGTTTAAGGCTCAAACGGTTAAGGGACCCATTTCTTCCCCCTTTTACCAGCTCCCCGCCCAGCCCCAGCTCCATGGCTGCCTCCTGGCTGAGAGCGTGAGCATGGTGATAATTTACCTGCTGGGAATTCTCTTATGATTTTCTTTCTCTTTTTTTTCATGGCTTCCATCTCTGTGGTAACTAGGTGTTTGAACCAAGGAGTTGATAACAAATGAACGACAAACCATTATTCCCTTGACCCCCGTTTCTCTAAGGATCCTAAAGCATTTCTTAGCCATCCTGGGGGAAGATACAGACGTTTTGCTTCTGTAAGGTGGGAGCCATTATTACCAACTTGTGTTTGGCAGCACTGAGCCCAGTGACCTGCACTTTAGTTGTAAGGCTGTTGTCCTTCGCTTCAGTCTGTAAACATATTTTTATTCTATTGACAGGAGTGAATTTTCCCACTGTATTCTGGGGTTTCAGGGATGTTCCCCACCTTACCTTACTCCCTCAAACAAATAACCTTAAAGGAATTGCTATTGTAGTTCTTGAGTCTTGGATATAAACACTTTTTTTTCCCTCATTTATTTTTAGTTGACACATAATAATTATATATATTTATGGGATACAGAGTGATATTTTGATACATTTATACAATGTGTAATGCTCAAATCAGGGTAATGAACATATTCATCACCTTGGACATTTATCATTTCTTTGTGTTGTGAACATTCAAAGTGCTCTCTTAATAGCTTTTTCTCTTTCTCTCTTTTTAATATTAATAGCTTTATTGAGAATTCACAGTACCATACAATTCACCAATTAAAGCGTGCAATTCAGTTTTAGTACATTCTCAGAATTGTGCAACTATCACCACGAACCATTTTAAAACATTTTTAACACCCGAAAAAGAAACTTGGCAGTCCTTAGCCATTACCCCCACCCCCACCATTCTCTCCAGCCCTAGGAAACCACTAGTCTACTCTTTCTGTCTTAAAATTGGCCTATTCTGGATGTTTCATCTAAATGGAATCATGCAGTGGTCCTTTGTGACTGGCTTCTTTCACTTAGCATATTGAAAAGGCTCCTCCGTGTTGTAGTGTATCAACACTTCATTCCGTTTTGCTGTTAAATAATACTCCATCAAATGGATATGCCAGATTTGGCTTATCCATTCATTAGTTGGTAGACATTTGGGTTGTTTCTACTTTTTGGCTTTTACAGATAATGCTGCTTTGCACATTCATGTATAAGTTTTTTTGTGAACATATGTTTTCATTTCTCTTGGGTATATGTATAGAGGTGGAATTGGTAACTATGTTATTTTAAATTCACTTTTAATTTTTTATTGATATGTAATATTTGTACATATTTATGGGGCACACGTGATATTTATAGCTTCTTTTTTATTTTTAGAGATGGGGTCTCACTCTGTCACCCAGGCTGGAGTGCAGTGGTACAGTCATAGCTCACTGTAGCCTCCAATGCCTGGGCTCAAGCGATCCTCCTGCCTCAGCCTCCCCCGTAGCTACGAACACAGCTACGACACCACCATGCTAATTCCTTTAGCTTCTTTTTGCTGTGTATTTCTATTCCAGGCATGGAGAATGGTGGAAAGCTAAGTCCCTTTCAACAAAGAGAGAAGGCTTCATCCCCAGCAACTACGTGGCCAAAGTCAACACCTTAGAAACAGAAGAGTGAGTCCTTATGTGTTGTCATCTTCCGTGGTTTAATTTACTTCATTGGATTTCTTGTTGATATTCTTCATCTTTCTCTTGCTCTGGAACATGATAGTCATGAAATGTTAAAATGTCTTCACAGGTGGTTTTTCAAGGATATAACCAGGAAGGACGCAGAAAGGCAGCTTTTGGCGCCAGGGAACAGCGCTGGAGCTTTTCTTATCAGAGAAAGTGAAACATTAAAAGGTAGGAAGTGGTTTCAGGCCCCTTATAAAACACTATTTAGGAAATCATTTTTAGAAACTATTATAGAATTATTCAAAAAAAAAGAGAAGGATATAGTATACTCTGGTAGTAAATGTTTTATAGTTTGTTAACAAATAAACTCAAATGATAAGTTTTGCTTCTAAAAGTAACATAGAAAGCAGGAATAAGTATGGCTAGTTCTTACTGCCCTTTGTGTTTGCCAAGGCTCTTGTGTTATTATTTAGAGTAAATCGTGAAATTTAAAGAGAAAGAAAATTAAAGAAACTTTAATTCAGCAAAGTAATAATTTTAAAAACTATCATGAAGAAAGAAAATGGCATGTTGGTAAGCTACACAGCAAACAAAATGCTAGTTTCATTTGTCAAGTAGGATTTTTATAGGACTGTAAAAATTATGCATTATATACATAATTTATATTTTGCATAGTTTTATGGCGAAATGTGTATTGCATTGTTGTCTAATGCAGATCTTATTTGTCAATACAAACATATACCGTACTTATGTTTTTCCCCCAACAGGAAGCTTCTCTCTGTCTGTGAGAGATTATGACCCTGTGCATGGTGATGTTATTAAGCACTACAAAATTAGAAGTCTGGACAATGGGGGTTATTACATCTCTCCGCGAATCACTTTTCCCTGTATCAGTGACATGATTAAGCATTACCAAAGTAAGTAACAACCAAAGGTCAGACTAGACGGAATACGATTATTATGAGACATGTAAGGTGTCAAGCATGATTTTTGTATTAAAATTTTTTATGCATCATATTTCTTTTGGATAAAGTTGGCAGGTCACATTCTATAACTGATTCTAAATTAATCTGTGGTTAAACATGCAAAGGAAGATTTCATCTTTGTGAATAATTATCCCTGTCCTTCCCACCTGGTCCGTGCTGTTTGACATTCAATGCTCCATAATTACCAACAGAAAAATAAATATTGTTTTTTATATGCCTACTTTTATGAGGCATCCAAATATCTGGAATAGGAATGCAGATTTGCAGATCTGTGTCTTTGTGTGTGTGTAAAAGTAATACATACTCTTGGTGAAAGAAAATAGAAATAACACCCCCATCACCACCAAAATATTTCAAAGTGGCAAGTCGATGTTCCTCCAGTCCCTAGTGCCATGTTCCAGCCTGTGGAGCCCGGAACCTTCTGGGTTCCTTTCCTGTGTGACTGTAGTCAGGTGCAGGGGTTGTTGCTCCTGCTTTTTTCCAGGACCTGCTGGAAGGGAATGCCCACTATGGGTTTGCTCAGGTCCCCAAGTATGGAGAGAACAAGGCGCCTCCGGTTTTGTGGCCTCTGCCCTCCCCATTCATTTGTGCATCTGGCACACGTGTCGAGGGCCTGCTGTGCTCTGGCCCTGTTCTGGGGCTGGGAGTTCAATGGTAACGCGATCAAGTCCCCACCGTGGTGCCCTGTGGAGCCGATGTGGGCTCAGTAATTTGAAGTCATGTTTTATTAAGTGTGACAACCCGTCAGCCTTTAGGTATCTGTTGTTTGTTGGCTTTGATTGTTTTGCTTTTATGTCAGCGATGCTAATGAGTAAAATCAAGTATGTTGCAAATTTTCTTTTCTTATAAGAATTTCAAAAGCCACAATTAATGCGAAGGATAGTCCCCATAAACATTTTAGGTTTATAGACTGTGGCAGGTTGGACATTATAAGACTAACAGTCCAAACTCTATAGATACTGGTAAAATATAAAGTGTTGCATTTCTTAACCTTTGTTTTTCCTTCCAAATTAGAGCAGTCAGATGGCTTGTGTAGAAGACTGGAGAAGGCATGTATTAGTCCCAAGCCACAAAAGCCGTGGGATAAAGACGCCTGGGAGATCCCCCGGGAGTCCATCAAGTTGGTGAAAAGGCTCGGCGCTGGACAGTTTGGGGAAGTCTGGATGGGTAAGTGTGTGGCCCCGGGGCCAGTGTCCTCTCCGGAGGCGACACCTGGAGAAGTGAGGGCTCCAGCCCGTTTCTATCGGCTTCTGAGCCAGATGCTAAATTGCGTCAGAAGCGTCATTTCTGTTGTTTTCCCCTGTCCACCAGGGGCTGGGAACTGGCCTGCCAAATCTATTTGCTTTGGCTCTTGCTCTTCCTTGTGACTTAGTAATTCTCTAAATGTTCGTAAGGAAGGGAGCAATGGGGACTTACCCTGATCCTTCTGTCTACTCCTTCGTGTCTCTCATCGTCGATTCTCCGGATGCACAGCTTAAGTGCGGGAAATACGCTTCCATCTCAGAGGAGGTACTCTTGGGGATAAGACCCACTGGCTTCATAGAAAGCATTTATTACAATTTGAGGGTCACCAAGAAAGTTTCTAAAGATGCTCAAAGTCCCGTCATCAGTGACTCATTTCTTAAAATTAAGTATCGCCTTCTCAGGCTGGCAAGAGGCACGTCCGAATATGGCAGTGGCTTTCCCCAGGGCATCCTTTCTGCCCATCCGTCTTTTTAAAAGTTTTTATAGTAAATGTGCATTTCTTTTGTGGTAAGAATTACAAACAAAAAGCAAATTTTTTTTTAAAGTAAGTATAACATTCTCTTTTTGATTCTCATTGAAAATGCAGTTGCTTCTGGGAAGTGTGACATGCCAGGTCATTCATATCTAACTGGGTCACTTTCTCTGTGCCAGCTTTGTGAGTGAAAGCGAACGTGATTTCTAAATAGAAGGGGCAGACGGCTTTTACAGGATCCCAGCCCCAGCCGAGCAGAAAATGACGCCTCTCTGCAGCCATGCAGGCGTGTCGCCTCCACATCCAGGACCTGGGAGGGAGAGGTTTTCCTTCCAAGACCTTGGCTCCTGGCATCGCATCTTGCCCATGCTGTCCTGTTGGTCCCTCTTTAGTGATTTTAAATATGGCCGGTACTGACCTAACCTGTAATTAATTCTTACTGCACTGGGAGTCTTTGTGAACACATTTACAGAATTCAGGTAAACTATAATCACACAACTTCACAGTCTCCGTTTCGGTTGGCACATTTCGGGACCAGTTGGCAGCCCACATCAGGCCGTCTGTTTTTATCCCGGTCAGCAGATTCAGGGTTGTGAGTGCTCACTTTGGATGTTGTCTTTTCCTGTGCACTCTGTTGCCTAAGTCACAACATCATCCTCCTCATTTCTGTCTGCTTTTTTTTAAAAATTAATATGAAATTCATGTGACAGAAAATTAATCATTTTAAAGCAAAAAATTCAGTAGCGTTTAATATATTCACAATGTTGTGCAGCCACTACCTCTGTCTTGTTCCAAAATGTTTTCATCACCCCAAAAGGAAAATAAATAATAACTCCCCATCCCCCCCTCAGCCCCTGGCCACCTCTATTCTACTTTTCACCTCTATGAATTTGATTGATCTAGGTACCTCATGTAAGTGAAATCACACGATATTTGTCCTTTTGTACCTGGCTTCTTTCACTTAGCGTAATGTTTCCCAGGTTCATTCATGTTGTAGAATATATCAGAATTTCATTCTTTTTGATGGCTTCGTAATATTCCATTGTATGAATATAACACAGTTTGTTTATCTACTAATTTATTGATGGATGTTTTGGTTGTTTCTACCTTTTGGCTGTTATGAATAATGCTGCTATGAGTATTTATGTACAAATTATTGTGTGGACACATATTTTCTCTTGGGTGTATACCTAGGAGTGCAATTGCTGGGGCATATAGTAAGTCTATGTTGAAGTTTTTTGAGGAACTACAAAACTGTTACATTCTCGTTTTTAAAAAATGACTTGCCTTCTTTTTTTCCTCTCAAGATATTCACATTTATTTCTTAATTTTTTTTTTCAAATCCACAGAATAGGGGCAGGAATGGTATAATGAACATTGTATACCCTTCACTGAGATGCAGCAGTTGTTAATATTTTGCTTTGTATATATACACACACACATACATGTTATTGTTAAACCGCTTGAGAGTAAGTTGTAGATGTGATGATTGTTCACCCCTAAATACTCAACCATGTGTCTCCTCAGAGTAGCGCCGTTGTCTTACTCAGTACAATGGTCACATGCAGGAAATTTAACATCAATACATACTGTTATCTAATACAGAGTCAATATTTGAATTTCCCCAGTTGTTCCAATAATGTCCTCATGGCTATCTTTCCCCAACCTGGCATCACAAATTTGACCTTAGTTGACGTGTCTTTAGTCTCCTTTAATGTGGAACAGTCCCTTGGCGTATCTTCATCTTTCATGACACGGACATTTTGTAGAACACAGGTCAGTTGTTTTGTAGAATGTGCCACAGTTTGGGTTTTTCTGATGTTTGTCAGGATTTGGCCCAGGCTGTGCCCTGTGAACGCGATGCTGTGCTTTCAGGGCAGCCGTCAGGAGGCATTGCAAAAACTGGTCCCATTCTTTGCTGATCTGTTTTATTTTGTTTAAGGCGGCCCATTGGGTATCTCCATGATGACTTTTTATTCCCTTTTGTAATGAATGAATAAATCATCTGTGGGAAGATCTTTGAGACTGTGTAAAAAGAACTTTCCCCAGATGGTTTCGTCATGATCTGCTCAATTCACATTCTCTTCCCTCTGAAGCTGTAGTCCTCCCTGTGCTTCTCCCACGCTCCCTGGACAGGTCTGATCTGATCCCCCTGCCTCACGCCAGGGACAGGGACTTGTGCATTCTCTCCCTGGCTTCCCCTTTCAAGGCTGCTCTCTTCACTGGAAGTACTGGCAGGAAAAACATTACCACTATCACACGCAGCTGTGCTCTTAGTCCATCTGTGCGCTCTTTCCTCTTACCGTGACTTGAAGTGGGGAGGAGGAGGAGGAAGACGACCGGAGGAGGAGAGAAAAGAGTGTGCAGGCTGTACGGTCCACAGGCTCTGTTCTAGGTGCATTTTCAGGGATGTTCTCACGTACTCATTGCAGGAGCACTGTAAAGTAGGCATTATTGTCTTCATTTGATAAGTGACGACACTGAGAATCAGATAAGCAACTCGCCAAAGGTTGTTCAAGGCAGTGAGGGAGCCAGATTGCTCTGGCGTCTAAGAGCCCTGGACGCTATTGCTTGCTAAGCTATTTACAAATTAATTTGACTTTCCTCACTTCAGTTTCCACATCAGTGAAATGGGCGAACAGCTATCACCAGTTGTTGAAAGGAAGAATGAGATCATGCACCCGAAGTGTTTCCCACACGGTCTGGCTCCATGTGCTCTATTTTTTATTATTATTTCTACTTTTCTATGTTTGACTCTAGTCAATGAAATCTGTATTTTGATGAATTTTTCCCAATTTTCATCATGAAACAAAGCTATAAATAATCCTTCCTGTGGATATTTGCTGGTGGAGGAATTGCATATCTGTCATGAAGAGGAACGTAGAGAGGGCTTAACCGGGGTGTAGTTATTTACCCTAAAACAGTGGCGCTATGTATAAAGTGGTAGTTTGCAATTTTGTTTCACCCTCCCTGCATTCAGCTGGGAAACCAGGATGAAGGCGTTTATACCTGAGAGATAAGTAGCAGTGAACCTAGTACATTCAAATCCTGCTGCTTGGGTGAATTGAATGCATGTGAAAAATATCTTAGCAATGCTGTTTTAAAAACTCAGTTGCCGCCAGGCTGGGTGCGTGGCATCAGCAATGCTGCTGTCAGCTGTGTTTTCAGTGACCTTCCAGGGAGTGGCTGGAGGGGCAGGGGCAGGAAGTGAGGAGTAAGGCAGCAGTGGGGCACACCCCTGAGTGGACCTGCCAAAACCCCTGGTCTGTCCTGAGGCGCTATCCTGGGCTGAAATTGTGTCCCTAGAACTCAAGCACATTGGTCCTTTCTGGGGTTGAGAAACCTCTTTGCTTCTAATCCAGATACACTAAATCCGCCTGCCCAGTCTCACACTTCCCTGCTCATGGGCTTCCACTGTGCCATGTGCTAAATGTTCACACTTTGGTTTTAATGAACTTTTATTTGGTGTGTACCCAGGTGGTCCCTGGGAGAAGCTGAGGTCTAGAAGACAGGAGAATGGGGTCTTGGAAAATATGTACTTGTTCTATCCAGAGTGGTACTTTTTATTTAAACTGTTTGAAGCAGGGTAAAAACCTTGTGAAAATATATCACTTGAATATTTTTGCTATTAGGTTGGTGCAAAAGTAATTGTGGTTTTGGACTGTGAATTTTAAATCATTATAACTAGGCTCAAACACGTCTTTATTAATCAAAATAGGAACCATTAAAATCAACACGTTTTTGCCAACAAGAAATAAGTTTGTTTATTCCTGTAGCATAAAAATCCATGTTTCGGAATTCAACGCACTCTTGGAAAGCATTTTCTGCATCCTGCTGGTTGTGGAAGTGTTTTCCCTACAAAAAGTTGTCAAGATGCTTGAAGAAGTGGTAGTCGGTTGGTGAGAGGTCAGGTGAATATGGAAGATGAGGCAAAACTTTGTAGCCCAATTCATTCAACTTATGAAGCGTTGGTTGTGCGACATGTGGTCAGGCATTGTCATGGAGAAGAACTGGGCCCTTTCTGTTGACCAATGCCAGCTGCAGGCGTTGCAATTTTCGGTGCATCTCATCAATTTGCTGAGCAGACTTCTCAGATGGAATGGTTTTGCCGGGATTCAGAAAACTGTACTGGATCAGACTGGCAGCAGGCCACCAAACAGTGCCCATGACCTTTTTTTGGTGCAAGTTTGGCTTTGGGAAGTGCCTTGGAGCTTCTTCTCAGTCCAGCCACTAGCTGGTCGTCACCGGTTGTATAAAATCCACTTTTCATCGCATGTCACACTGTGATCGAGAAATGGTTTGTCGTTGTGTACAATAAGAGAAGATGGGCTGGTCACGGTGGCTCACCCCTATAATCCTAGCACTCTGGGAGGCTGAGGTGGGTGGATCGTTTGAGCTCAGGAGTTCGAGAGCAGCCTGAGCAAGAGCGAGACCCCCGTCTCTACTAAAA